TCTTGATGAAAGTCCTTTGGGCGGGCAGACTTGCCAGGCCGGACACGGTAAAGGCAATAGGGGATCTCACCCGCCGTGTCACGAAGTGGAGTCGTGCCGATGACCGCCGCTTGCACAGATTGATGAACTATCTGTTCGAGACCAAGGCGTTCTGCCTGAAGGGCAAAATCGCAGATCGTCAGGAAGACCTACAACTGGTCGTGTATACCGACGCGGACCACTCAAGCGCGGTAGAGGATGCAAAGAGCACCTCTGGTGGTTTGCTGTGTCTGCAAGGACCGGAGTCTTACTGGCCACTGTCGTGGCACAGTAAGAGACAGGGTGCCACTGCACGGTCGACCACAGAGGCCGAGATCATATCACTTGCCCACGGCGTATTTGACGCTTTGCCAGTTGCCGAATTCGTTGAGGAAGTATTTAGAAGAGAAATTGAATTGGTGTGTTTCCAGGATAACAGCGCCGTCATAACCATATGCGGCCAGGGCTATAGCCCCAAGCTCCGACATGTTTCGAAGCACCATCGAATCAACCTCTCTTCTCTATACGAGACGTTCTCGAATGGCAGTGCCAAATTGCTTTATATAAAAACGGACCATCAAAAGGCTGATCCCTTCACGAAACCGCTGCCGGTTTCCAAATGGAGTCACGCCTTGGAGCTTTTGGGCGTAGTAGATCCAAATCTCTCGAGGCACCCATCTTCCACTAAAGATGTTAATGTGTGAAGGGGGAGGAGAGAGACATGGGGTGAAACCACCACCCATAATCCACTAATAAAGCACCCTGGTCGATGCATCTGGCACGCCAGGGGAAGCAGTCCTTGAAGCAGTCCTTGAACAACCAAAGCAAAGCATCTCTGCAGGCAAGCTTTGCATTCGATGTGTCACCAAGCACTGTTGTATCACTTGACATGCAAGTCATAGGAATCTTAATGAATGTAGCCATCACATGATCCAGTCATTGACGTTTCACTTCACCGGACATGTTTGGCTCAAGATTGTGGGAAAAAGGGGCGGCTGCTGTGTTCTTATTGGGGCGATAAAAAAAGCGGAGGTGGTGCGAGAATGTGGGGCGAGAAAACCCGGAGGCGTGGAGGAATCCCCATGAGGTGCAAGAAAAAGCGGAGAGACCCGGAGAAATGCGAGAAGCCATATTATATAGTTCGTTCTTTTGGGTGAAGCTGGAATTCCTCAACTTTTGGCTTCGCTGGTAGGTCTCATGTGATCAACTTTGAGCATTGTGCCTTGTGCATAATTAGTTATGTTCAAGTGACGGAAATACACGTGCCTCATTGTCACCGACCAATCACACATGCGTGGCCATCCGAGTCCATCCCCTCAGGAAAGTCTTGCTTTGCTGCAGCGTGGCGGTAGCTGCCTGCCATTGGCTGCTAGGGCCCGCCAATGGTCATATTTTGGGTTTGTCTGGTGTGGTTTTCGCGCTCATGATGCTCAACGGTGTCTTGGCATCACCGATCTGATGCAAAACGAGGATGTGTGTGATGCCTGAACCACTGGTCAACGAAGCGTGGCTTGGTGAAGATGGGACATAAAGGCGTTGGTCTCCAGGGCCTTCGATTCCAATTCCTGGTTAGTTTTGCAGGACCAAGATCAAACCTGCAGTTATACATTTTTTGGGGCAGCGATTTGGGTGGTCACCATCGCCGGAAACGCTCTCTTGTGCACTGCCCTGCGAATCACATGGGGGCCACATCTAATGGATTCACATAGATGGCGCAACAAAGCACCGTGTCTTCTTTTTTGCTCGGTACTACTTGCTCCGAATTCGCACCGAATTGCGTCACAGCCATGAGGCTTTGCTGGCAGCCAACGTCATGGTATCCCTGCGAGTGCTCTCCTCACGGGTTCCTTGTGGCTGATCAGCGAGCTCCTCCCGCTTCTCCAGGGCACTAGGGCCCCATGGCCAAAGTGTACTTGGAATATCACAACACTTGCGGACAGGTGTTAAAGGCACTTCATACATTCATGGTGTCAGAGGGGCCAACATCCAATACCAAGTGTTTAAACCTGTATCGATATTATGAGGTCACGATCTGACATTTGTCAATGTTATACCTTGATCGATCAGAGGGTGATCAGCTAGATCCGCGGACGAGATACACCTCTGTCAAAGACTTTGGTCAGGGCCCGACTGAGATGTCATTTGCCCGAAAGTGGCAGAGGACACCAAGTTGCACCGCTGGGTCATCGATCGTTTCAAACCGGGGTTGCAATGCTCTCCCAGGATGGCGTGTCCCACTTGTCACATTTGGCTGGCGCTCTGGTGGGGAGCTACTGTGGATATGCCATGAGCCAGGTTCGCGTGCAGCAAGGCTGGCGCCCTGCACGGGGCGATGCTTTGTTTTGGGGAGAGGGGAGCAGTGCCCATACGTGGCCTCCATGAGCTGTCGGTCCTTCGCTTCAGCATGCTTTAGCTATTGAGAATCTATATTGTAGACAGTTGATTATCTACCCAGCCAATTGAAGAGGTGTTAAACAACAATCCAATTGCAGAGGGTTATTCATTTTATTAGTTATATTAACCAATGGCCTATACAAAAAGATTCTTCCACCAGCCTATGAGCCAACAGGGGTACCAAGATAACCACCTCCGATCGCTGGCCAAAATTACACTCGGTACTGTGTGCATTCATCGGGTCTCCCCTTTTGTGGGCGTCGTCGTTTTTTCCTGCTGCAGAGGTGACTATAATTGCATCTAATTGGTACAGTATTTCACTCGTGACTTCAAGGGTTCGTTCTTTTGTGCACGGGTTTGTGATGACAGGGGTGACTAAATACTGTGAATACCGGGTGTGCGAGTGTCATGACATTTGTGTCTTGTGGAGGTTTCCGCTCTTGGCTTGTCCACTTTGGCTTTCTGAAGCCGAGAGGAGCGCCGCTCGAACGCAACGCTGGCTATGTTACATGCTAGGTGATCTTCGGTGTTCTTGTCTCGTTGGCAGCTGACAGCCCTCGTGAAAAGAGCAGACCTGTTGGAGGATTCGTGGTGATGCATCATTGACACGTGTCAACATCCCCGTATCCGTCAAGGTCAGCTTGGCGGGCTCACGAGCATCGGGATGGGAAAACAAGACTTTTTGCCAGGATTTCTTCAACTTATCATCTGAGGGCCCAGAAAACAGCGCGGAATCCTTACAGAAAAGGCCGCCAGGCCCAGCTTGGCTTTCCATGTTTTTACACACAACATCACCAGTTCCAAGGCGAAAAAGCGGCCCCTGATCGCTGAGGCCCATGGCCTCCTTCCAGCGTCGAACAGAGCAGATTGGTCGTTGGCTGCGAGGGGATCAAAAGCGACCCGTAGCACAGCGCACAGCAGAGCTCATGTGACATGCGGTGTGTGTTGAACGTCTGCACATGCGGTTATTGCCCACATGTTTTAAGCAGTGTGTTGAGCATTTACGTTTATACATTTTGCAATTTGCTACCTCATGGTGCTTCATGCGCACACTATCGGCAAGTTTTGGCCAATGACCCCCTGGCAATATATATATGATTGGTCATGGAAAAATGGGGGGGCCTGCTTTGCAGCAGGTGAAGGCATCAGCAATAATGATAGAACGCTACATTGTGATTGTACAGCAATATAGAGTGTGACAACACTGCAAGTCCACGGGTTACACGCGGTATACTTCCATCCTTCGGGGCTGTCAAGGCCCCCAAGCCGCCCCCAACACATCAATTGGATTGGATAATCCGACTAGTTCGGCAACGAGGCTGATCACCCCATCGTTGTGGAACATGTATTTTATATATATGGTTTGGCCAGGGGACCTGAAGGGGAATGTCCCTTAAATGCTTTTGATGTATGTGCACAATCGGAGCTTCTTCTGAACTCAGCCGGCAGGCATACAGCATCCACGGAGCTTCTCCATCGTGCGCACTCCGAGACCACTGCGGGTGCTCGGTCTGTCGGCTGCGGGTGCTGAGTCCGCGAGGTGTGTTGGTCCCCCGCCCTAGAATCGGCTAAGACATGCTGACACGACATCGACTGGCACATGACTCCCAATCAGCCAATGAGTTGGGGTGGCCTTATGGTGCATCCGAAGAACTGAGAAAGGATGAGTGGATTTTTTGAACTGTGGTTTGTGGAGAGCACTCAGCGTGGCCAAACCTCCTGTTTGGCCAAGCCACCTCGGTGGACATGGGTGTTTTGCACGAGCTTCCCAGAAGCGAAGGATGCCTTGATGTTCGTTGATGGCAATGTGTCTTCTAGTATAACTTATAAGTCCAGATCGGGTGATTTCGGTGTTCCAGATGGAGTTCACAGGTGCCTCAGTGGTTCACGTCAACCTCCGTGACTTCCTCAGCAGGATTTGGGAGTGCGCGGTCCCTCCAAGCTTCCTTCGAGGCAGCACGCGGCGGGTGTGGGACCACCGCCCAGCAGCGGGCCCAGCCGCATGGAGCAACTGACCTGGTAGGATGAACTTGTTACAGTGGTTTTAGAGGTGAGAAATGGCACAGACCCCATGATGTCCTTTTGATGGGGGTCCCAAAAAGAAACCACCGACTCTAGTCTAGGGGTCTGTGCCATCTACTCTCAATCGGCTCTTAATCCACTAATATTTGGATGTGCTGCGCCGGCAGGTGCGAGCCGGAGGGAAAGAACAGCGAGCTTGGGTCGCTATACAGGGGTATCTATATATTCAACCAGGGCGCCAAGGAGCTACATGGACCCTTGCTAATTTCTGCTGGAAATTCACATAACTTCACCATGTTTCGAGATTTGGCTCAAAGATGAGGTTGGGAAGCAAGAGGAGAACTTGCCCTGGACATCTTTTGTCCGGGTTAGAGTTGACAGACCAGAACACCATCCATGTTGCCTGAGCGACAGCACCCTCGATCGTGGAGCCAACACCATCAAGATCTTTGGTCCTAACTGAGTATCGGCATCGGATTTTGCTGTAGCTTGCAGCGCACTCGCACTCATGGACCAAGAGACAACTATGAACCAACAACAGCAAACTGGGCTATGTTATGTTATGTTGTAGTACCAGTCCTGAAGACAACATCCCATGGTGGTACTTTGCCAGCTGCAACTCATCTCCTGAAGTCGGACCCCATGGACCCCAGCCAGATCCGCCACCTGGTGGAGGCGAGGCGAAGATCATTCAAGTGCCCTTTTTTTTCCACAGTCCGCTCTTGGATCCGATTGTCAGGTCTTCTACTCGCGCGTGTGGAACGCGCGCGACGATCGCGCCTTGCGTGAGATCCTGTCGCCGGAGCTGCGCTTTCGGGGCTCCACAGAAGCGACGGAGCGCGTGGGGCCGGAGGCCTTCAAGGCGCAGATGGCGCAGCCGAAGAGATTTGTGGATGAGAATTCTTAATAGGGGGACTGGTCTACTTGGGACTGGTCTACTGGTTCTTAATAGGGGTTCTTAATAGGGGTAGGGGGGACTCCAGGGGGTCCCGAAATCTCGCCCCTGGTTGGGTGGACTGGTCTACTCTACAGTACTGGTCTCCGCACCCAGGGGTTCGATCTGGCAGCCCTTCCATTCGGGTACCACCAGTCGGACCGGCGGCTGGCGGTGGGGCGATGCTTCTCAGGCCTACCGTGATGCCATCCACCAAGCCTTGCGTGACTACACGTGCACCCTGCAAGATGTCCTGGTGGAGGGCGACTGTGCCTGGGTTTGCTTCACATGTCCCATCATCCAAAGGGTGTCCAATAGACTACCCTGTTGTGCTTTTGGATTGTTTGGTCTCTATAAGTTCCCCACAAACCTTTAAGACCAAAGACTTGTTGTAAGCTTTGGACCAACAACTGCGAGACACCATGCTTGCACCATGGTCACTTATCATACCAGCATTGTTACAGTATAGTTCTATTATGTGTTCGTTGTGTTTGTGTTATGTTGGGGGAGGCACGTGCTCACCCAAAAGCAGACCCAGACTGAGGACCAGGACATCCCTGCTCAGGTGCCTTCGCACGTGTGTGGTTCCGTGGCACCCACGTCGGGCAGCTCCTCGGTCTCCCCGGCACCGGCCGCGCCGTGGAGTGGATCGGCTGCGCACGCTTCCGCGTGGTGAGCGGAGTACACGGTGCGCGTTCGATCGGCCGTGGATCGTCCATCCGGTAGAGCCCGAAGTCCAGGTTTGGGGTTTGGACGGCGGCGTAAGTGTTCGCAGGCCTGTGGAGTAATGTTAACATCTCATTGATTCACCCCTCATACCATACTGTATAAGAAAAACACATGTTTCTCGGGGTAGTCAAAACTCTCAACCTCAATTCAAAAAAAGAACTGCAGGCCATTTGGCAGAGGGGATTTGGCAGAGGGTCTTTATTACGCTTTCATTCTGCTTTCATTCTGATGAAAACATAAAGATTCCACAAAAGAAGAAGAAGATAGGAGAACTTAAAAGCAAAATGGAAAGCACAAGGCGAGGACAAGCCAGCAGGGCTGGAGGGGGGTTGATTATTGTAGGTTTGTTTATAATTGCAGAGGGTGGGAGTCTAAAGGGGAACCTTTGAATATATGTTT